GCCTTTCGTTATCTTTCTATCTCTTTCCCTACTTTTTTTCCCTTCTATTACTTTCCTACTGTCTCTATTTATCGTCTCTCATGCCATCTTTTCCTGTTTCGTCTCTTTTCTGACACTTCTTGTTTTTTTTATTCTATATTCGAGTCCCATCTTTTATTGCTTGTCACTCTAGTGTTCTCTACTTTTTTATTCTACCGTTCTATTTTGTAGCTTTATCCTTCATATTATGGTGTTTTCCTGCCGTCTCGTTCCGATTATCCTCCTACTATCACTGCTCCCTCCTCCTTCTTTGTCCTTTTTGCTTTTTTGTCTTTTTCTTACTGCTCTCCTCATTTCTTCTTACTTTCTTACTTCTCTTTCTTTCTTTGGCTCCTGCCTCTTTCGTTTTGACTGATGCTTGTCTTTCCTCCGTATTCCTTGTTCACTTATATGCTTAGTCCGCTTTTCTATTGCTTATTTTTACTGTCATTTATTTCGCGTTTCTCTTTCCTTTTCTTTTCTCTCTTGTCGCTTATCTCATCTCTTATATTGCTCTTCTCGCCTTCTCGCTGTTATCTTGCTTATTATACATTCCTTCCTTATTCCTGTCAACTATTTACTCACTTGCTCTGTACTTTCAGTATTGCGGATCATGTCTGTTTCTGCTCGCTGTTTCGCTTTTCCCTCTGGCTTCCCTTTTTCCTTCCTTATCCTGTTTTCTCTCTCTCTTAGATCGTGGACTTTCCTGCTTTCACTTACTTTTTCTCTCGTTTCCTTGTTGTTTCTCATCTCTTTATTCCGCTGTGTCTCGTCTCTTGTCTTTTTCTTCGTTACTTCCTTTTATCTTCTCCCTACTTATTCCTTCGTACGATGTTATTCCTGAAGTTCTTCCGTTGTACTTTCTGTTTTCTCCTTTTTCCTGCCTCCATTTTACCTTCTTTACTTGTGCCGATTTCCATTCTTGCTGTCTGCTTTTCCTTCTTCTACCTTTTCTTGTTACTTGTCGCTCTCTTTCTCTTTCTCTTGCTTCTTATCTATTCTGCATTCTGTCTGAATTATCTTGTCTTACCATCTCTTTCTTTTCCTGTTATGCTTTAGTTGTCTATCCTCTTATACCTTTCGATCT